CGGCAGCTTCCTCGCGGCAGCTTCCACCTAGCCCTGTGGCCGTAAGCCCCTGCTGTTCCAGCGTTGCAGCCTGCCGTCTGCCTGCATAGCCCTCTGTTGTTAGGGCGTCCATAGCTTCCACCCAGCCCTGTGGCCGGCGGCAGCTTCCACCCAACCCTGTGGCCGTAAGCCCCTGCTGTTCCAGCGTTGCAGCTTGCTGTCTGCCTGCATAGCCCTCTGTTGTTGGGGCGTCCATGCCACGGGCGCCTCGCGGCCCTCCTCGCGGCAGCTTCCACCCAGCCCTGTGGCCGGCGGCAGCTTCCACCCAGCCCTGTGGCCGTAAGCCCCTGCTGTTCCAGTGTTGCAGCCTGCAGTTGCCTGCACATAGCCTCTGTTGTTAGGGCGTTCAAGCCTGCCGTTTGCCAGCCTTCAAACCTCTAAAACGCTTAAAATGCTCCGCCGGCCGTTTGCCTGCATAGCCCTCTGTTGTTAGGGCTTCCATGCCTAGGGTGGCCGTAAGCCCCTGCTGTTCCCGTAAGCCCCTGCTGTTCCAGCGTTGCAACCTGCTGCTTGCCTGCACATAGCCCTCTGTTGTTAGGGCGTTGAAGCCTGCCGTTTGCCAGCCTTCAAACCCTTACAACCCTTAAAACCGTTAAAACCCCTAAAATGCTCCGACTCCCTCCCAGCAGCTTCCACCAAGCCCTCTGGCGGTAAGCCTTTGCTGTTCCAGCGTTGCAGCCAGCCTTCCAATCGTCAAAACTTTCAAAATCCTTGGCAGCAGCTTCCACCAGGCACTCTGGCCGCAGGCATTTGTTGTTGGAACGTTGACGCCCGCCGTTTGCTTCCATCGCGTCTGTTGTTACCGCGTACATTCCTTCCGTTTGCCAGCTTTCACACCCCTCAAATGCTTCGCGGCAGGGGTTTTGCCATTGCCATCTTTTCCTACGGCAAGCGCAGCGTCTTTCTATTTCATTTCCTTTTTTTCTTTGCCTTTTTGTCGGGAACGTGCCAATGTTTCATCTGGCATCGTTTTCCCGACGGCGTGACATGCGTCACCGCAATGCGCCCACAGGACTGCGATGACCAAACAACAGTTGAGCACACCGGGCAACTGTGCGCATGACACCGTGTTTTCTTGCTGACCTATTGTCTTTCGTCTCGGTATTTCGCTCGCAGCGCGCTCCAATCCATTTTTTCACCACCCCAGAACCGCAACAGCAATTCCCGCCCTACTTTTGCCCCTTTTTGAAATGGTGCTGCAGGGAACGGTCTGTACACAAACAAACCATGCCTGTCTTGGACCCGCGTTAACGCAATGTAAGCTGTCAATGGGTCGCCTGCTTCCCCAATGTGCATGTATGAGCCATGTATGATTGTGATCGTGTATGAAATTTACCTCCTTCCCACGCCCTCCAACACCACCCAGCCACAAGGCCAAGAAGCTGAATTGAATCCCGACCACGCTTTGGCCCCGGAAGGCTTAAAGCTATCTCTCGGCCAGAAAGCCCGGGCACCACCAACGACTCCGGAACAACACCACTGGCGTTTCGCCAGCACTCTCTCAGGAGCACTTCCTGCAACAGAAGCAAAGAATCCAACTCGGGTACCACGGATGGCCTTATGTTTGCCTTCACCAGAACTTGCGGCACCTCCCCAGACTCCGTGGGCTTGCCGCTGATGATGAACTTCAGAGCGGGGTAACGACCTCAGTTGCGCAAGCAGCCACCGACCAGCACCCTAGCCACACAAGCCGATTGACACACAAGCCCACAACGCCCACCCCATCCCTCAAACTGCCCGGGTCCGAGCTGCCCGGAGTGTGGCCGAACAAGAATGTCATCCTGCACATGGTACACATGGGTTGCAATGGCACTGGATTCACCGCCACCAGCGTAGCCAAGTCCGTCGTAGATGGCGTCGAAGCCGGTGTAGTCGGCATAGGCGCCGTCGCCTTCTTGAAACAACCCATGGCTTCGGGTACCTTCACTCACCAAACAAGCTGTTGCTGCGGCAAGAAATGCATGCATGAGCCCAGCCCATGCCTTCGAAAGATTACGCACCATTCTCTGCAGCCTTCACCACAGCTACACGATATGTCGGGCACCTTTCCCTTTCCTATGGCCAATACCAGCACCTAGTTTGGTTACGGGAGGTTACGGGGAGGTTGAGATTCGGGAGGTTACGGGATACTCAGATTCTAGAGATTCTAGACTCAGATTCTAGCTTGGTTACGGGAGGTTACGGGAGGATACAGATTCTAGAGATTCTAGGCTATCAAACAGAATAAACACGAAAAAATGATGTTTTCTAAGACTCAAATTGATGAGAAACTCCAATATTCATAAGAAATGGTAACAAGTAAGTATATGACAACAATCTGATAATATCATATTGGACTCTCGGACTATTAACATAGACGTGCCGTTGGGGGATGGTCATGTTGGCGCCCAACTTGAGATGGTGTATACAATTTTCTGCGTTACCACCTTACTTATGATGATATACTTGCGATGACTCATGCTCATGCTGCCAAATCGAGGAAATGGGTCTATCATGTCTATCCGTCAGCAAATCCTGCAGCATGATCTGCGTGATCTATGAAGATCATTGCCGTTCAGTGGCCCTCTCGTGTAGGTGGTGGCACATGCAAGTCAACAAGCATGATTGAGTCTCATTTCCCAAACAACTCCGAGCAGCGGCAAGCATCACTGTTAGGCAATGATCAACCATCATGTCTGGCCGTGGTAGCAATAATTGCAAGAAGAACGCGGAACCAAATGCGGCAATGATCAAGCCACAGCATCAGTGGTCACTCCAGGATACAAAGTACTAGTATATCAAGGTATCTCAACATAAGACAACATAAGTTTACTCCAGGTACTTGATGACGCTGATCAATTTAATCACTGTGATCTAGATCACGGTGGTGCATCCGGAGGGGAAGCTGCAGTTTGTTTTCTAGCAAGTTGCAGCAACTCTGAAGTCGGCTCTTTATCCAGGTTCTGCATTTACGAAACAGGTTGAATCTTAGCAGTCGCATAGTTGCTGCAGCCTTTGGAAGTAGCAACATTCTTTCGCCCGAAAGTAAATTTCCCGAGTGACTGGGGGCCACGGCCTCGCGGCACCGAGGGCCTGCAACGTTGTAAATGTCAAAACCATTTGAAATGCTGTCAATTCTGTATTTCATTACGTTCAGACAATCCAATTTTCCAAGCAGGCATCGAAGATTGCGGAACTCACTCGTCAATCTTCATCCTGGACGGCGGAGCTAGGGAGACGATGCTGCAAGCAAAAACCCTGTCACGGAAGCATTGCATTAGCATGCGGAAAAATCCTGATGCGTGACTTGACGGTTCTTGTCTAAATTGACTGACACATCCTGCGACCAGAACTTAATTCGACGGTTGGCAAGCTACATGAACAAAACTGACCCTCATAACAGCAATCTCGACAACAGTTACCTTCACAACACTGACATTGTGTTTGCCTGGAGCAAGGCTCTCACGTCTTGGCCGGAGTTTGCGGCTGCGTTCAGCAGCATATCCTCCACGGCTTGCAGAAGCCCTTTTGCCTTCAATGGCAACTGTAAGACTCTTGGGAAAAGGTCCACAAAAAAAGGCTTTACCAGGACGGTCACATGTGGTGCCTGTTGCAGTGCTCCGTTTGCTCTCGCGAACTCCTGAGCCCTCGTCTTTGCCGTCACTTTCTTTTGGCCTTTCCTCTTCATGCCCCGTGCCTTGGCTGTATTGAATCAGACCGGAATACGTTATCCAGTGCAAATCTACACAGGAACTCAGACAGCTGCTGTCGGCACTCCGCATTTTCGCTCGGTTCCCGAAAATAGGGTACTGCTTTTGGAGGGTTTTTGCCCAAAAAGTGCCAAGGAAGAGGAATGGAAGAGGAAAAGAGAGGAGAGGAAAAGGAATGGAAGAGGAAAGGAAGAGGGAACGGAAGAGGCAAGGAAGAGAAAGGGAAAGGAGGAAAGGGAAAAAAGGAAAGGCCCTACCCTACCCGAGTTTTGACCATACCTCAAATGAGACGCAGTCAAGGCACAAAGTTTACGCATAAGGCGCACTTTTCTCCCTCAGCAACGCGTTCTTCTCCACGTATGGAGTACAGGAATCTGCCCCACGTTGCGGTGTCAGTTGTGGCACCGCAGCTGCAGTGGAGCGGAACCCTTGGCAGCACTGTCTTGGCCTTTGGCATCGCTTGGGCTTCGGGCTTCGCCTCCGTGTGTGTTTTTGCCCTAGTTGGACGAGCCATAATCGAAGGAAGTCTAGAAGTCAAACTTCCGACAATATGGACAAATGACAAGCAGAGACGGGGAAGAGGCAGAGAGAAGAAAAGAGTAGAAGAGAGAAGAGGATGGAAGAGAAAGAGTCAGAAGAGAGAAGATGCAGATGCGCGACAAGGTAGGAAAGTCGCCAAATTCTGATTTTTCCCAATGATTTGTGGCTCCGGAAAGTTGAAAAGTAGGCTCGCTAGAGCGGTGGGTGCGGAGCCAACTGGCAAGAGCTTAGGAGAGATGAAAAATTGCACGCCGTTGTCACGCGAAGTACATGTCGAAGTCAAAATGTAGCAAACACACCGGGGTCGGACCACTTTTAGAAGTTGCGATGTCAAAAAAAGGCACATGAGTGTGGCGCGAAGCACATTTTGAAGTCAAAATTTACAAAGCGCACCATGCTTGGACCACTTTTGGGAGCTGCGATGTCGGTAAAGTGCACGCCGTTGTGGCGCGAAGCACATTTCGAAGTCAAAATTTACAAAACGCACCATGCTCGTCGATAAAGTGCACGCCGTTGTGCCGCAAAGCACATTTCGAAGTGAAACTGCACAAAACAGATATGCGTAGACCCAGATAGATATAGACAGATACATCGATAGATATAGATAGACGTCTATAGATTGATAAATAGGTCGATAGATACATCGATGGATAGATGGCTGAAATAGATGAAACAAATGATAGATAGAGAGATAGATAGCTAGTTAGACAGCTAGATAACTAGATAGATAGATAGCTAGATAGATAGACAGCTAGGTAACTAGATAGAGTGATCAATCACCTTTCAGTCCATCAGCGGCTTCGCTCTGCCATCCCTGATTCACAACAACCAACGTCCCATTTTTGAAACTTCCGCCACCGCCATTGCCTTGAAACTGGGCAATCCATTCCAACATTCGAACCTCTCAGCCCCTACTTCCTCAGATCTCAATTATTTCATCCCCATGGGCAAGACTCTCGAGCGAACCAAGCAGTCTCGAGCCCCAAGCCCCAATTCGCCCACGTTTCCTACGCTCCCATCCCCTGCCTTGGCCTTGCTCGCGGCCTTCGCCAAGGCTTTTGGGGCTGCCTGATACCGTTGTCACAACATCGGCCAAGCTTGGCCGCTCCGATGAAAAGGCCAGCTGCACCTCTAGTCCAAGCTCCTGGACACACCCACAGCCGACGTGAAGCAAGCAACACACGTCCATGCCACAATGTGAACAATGCCTGCCCTAGGCCTGCGCGAGGCTACCCCAACATGCGTCAGATGTTACAACCGACAACAACTTATATCCACCATACCCTGCCTTCCGAAAATGCTCCGCAATGTCAACCACCGACTTCGAAGACCAGAGGGAACGCAAATTGGACGAAGCAGAAGAAAGCAACTTGCATTGCAACTTCATGACAGGCACCGAACGCTGCGATTGGCAGGAATTGGGCGAGCCAGGGCTACGGAAGGTTTCCAGCTGCGATTCTCGGCTACAACCCTTTGCCATGAATCACATCCATACAGGATCAGCCGCAAGATCAAAACAATCTGCAATCAATGCTGCCATCGGTGGAGACCCCTCAACTACACAGAAATGTGTGCATACCCGTGCCAACTCCGCCCCATACTGACAGCCAAGGAGCAACCTTCGCCACACTAAGCAGGGTAGCGCTGGGGACATCGACACAGAGCAGCAGCAGCCTCGCCAGCGCTGTTTCCACAGCCTGGGGCGCTCTGAGGCATGGGCCAAACATCAATTCATGGCACCCTGGCGCTTCAAGAATAACATCCACATCTGGTGAGTTCCATTTTTTCGAGACCTTGCTGGTAGGAAAAATAACACCCACGGTGCACAATAGTAGATGGATGTAGATGGAAATCGATCCTCAAATCTCAAATAGATCCTACGAGCAAAAAAAAACATGCTTCAGGGCTTGGTCTCGAACCGCAAACATGAAATCTGCGATGACAAGAGCTGAAATCTGAACCGACCTGAGCCGCTTTCGGTAAACATGGCCATTCACAAGGGACACCTTCAGGGTTGAAGGCAAATAGTTTCATCCGAGAGTTGTTCCCAATCAACCATCAACCAACTTCAACAAATATAGCGTTACTCTTGCCAATATCTGTATATATTATGTTCAAAACCTATGATACATTTTTGTAATCTTTCCCATCCGTTCTACTGACACGTTGCCTAAACATAATCACCCTGGCACCAACATGACCTGATCATACTACATAAGTATATGGGTTCCCCCACTGATTGGACACCTGAATTGGACATAATGTTTGGTACTTTGGGTTCAGCCCGTCATCAACTAAGCTTCGCCGCAACATGCTTCGGCCATTATTCCTGCAAGAAGGCGGGAAGTTATTCCTGTGGATGAATCTAAGACGATCCAAGCTACCGATGATGAGCTGTTGATGCTTCAGCAGCCATCTGCACCACTGGTCGCGAAATGAACCGCCAAAGGGATCTGATGTAGACCACCCATGAGCACCACCATCCCCACAAGCGTCGTTGCCACCGTCCGCTTCTAGAGTTGGATCTGATCAACATGCTCTTTGACACATATTCAAATTGTTATGTGCACGGTGATTGCTTCGTCCATTGGTCATACTATATGTTTGTGATATTAGGTACATGTTAGCACGTGATTGGTAAATACTGTCATTCTTTCGACCTATGTGTATGATATGAATCAAACATCAACAATGATTGACAAACCAAAAGTCCTAGGCATATAGTCATATAGTTCGTTGAAACTCGTAGTGTGTTTCCGAAAATACTGGATGTCATTTTCATTAAGGCAACAAACCCCTCGACCACTTTTGATCTGTTTGTTTCCAAGGTTTCCACTCACACCATGGAGATGTGCGGGAACTGCGAGCTTGAAGCAAATGGGGCTATGCAACTCTTGGGGCATGGAATGGCCTTGCCTAGAAGTACATCGAAGAATCCAAGGACTCTGGTAATCAGTCCCTGTCCAGAAAAAGTCCTGTATATGCCCCTAGCCAGCCGAGCACCCCAACTTTAGGGGGGTCGGCGGCACCCGGGCGCTAGCCCATTCTGTATGCATGCATGCATGCATGCATGCATGGATGTATGTATGTATGTATGTATGTGGATGTATGTATGTATGTATGTATGTATGTATGTATGTATGTATGTATGTATGTATGTATGTATGTATGTATGTATGTATGTATGTATGTATGTATGTATGTATGTATGTATGTATGTATGTATGTATGTATGTATGTATGTATGTATGTATGTATGTATGTATGTATGTATGTATGTATGTATGTATGTATGTATGTATGTATGTATGTGTATATGTATATGTATATGAATATGTATATGTATATGTATCTAGGTAGACATTCACAAACGCTTATGCACATTATGAACTAAGATGCATCGGTACACAGTTCAAAACACCATGTGACATTTCTGGTCTTTCACTTCTGAATTTTCCCTACATGCTGCTGGATGATCATCCCAATTCAAGGCGCTGGGCAACTCCGATTGGTTCACGGGCTGTCTTTGCAGAAAATATTCAGAAACGAAGCATAGTTTGGTTCTCAAAAGGTGGACTCCTTGATCAAAGCATGCTTATTACTTATTCATTCCCACAAAAGCAGAAACATACTTGGGGTATCTTGGGGTTTCTTGGAGTCCTAGTTGCAGCCATCAATTTTCGCACTCAACTGGACAGTCTCCACCGGACAGAACGTGGGATCTCGGATCTCCTCATCTGTGAGACCGGCTGGGCGTAGGGAGAAGAAGGAGAGTGCAACAGCAGCGTCGCATTCGCCTGCGGAGGTGAACGACCACCCAAAAAAACTCTGGAACCAATTGGGAATGACTTGACCCGTTGAGCAACATTGGGGGTTTAACCAAAAATGGAAGTTGGCCTGCAAAAGTGGAGCCCCCCACAAAACGATGGGGTTTTGTAGGACGACTACCAGAAAGTTGCCTGGAGACTATGAAATTTAGATCATGTCATGATATTTGTACCTGTGTAATTTCCTTGTTCTTCATGTGAGGCCTGCAAGAGTCTACCCTCTGGTAAACAAACATAACTATGGAAAATCACTATTTTTAATGGGAACATCAACTATAAATGGCCATTTTCAATAGCTATGTTAAATTACCAGAGGGTAACTTCCAATCAACTCTGACTCTGCAACCAACAATGAAACAATGAAACAATATGATCTATGTCCAAAATGTTCTCCAAATGGATGCTTGGGTTCCAGGAAAGTAGGAAAGTAGTGATATCCAATTCAGGTCCCCCAGACCTATAAATAAAGCATGCTTGCTCGTCTGCCATCCACACCAGCCGGCACCTCGTCTGCAAAGCTCTTCCAGGCCGCAGAAAGGTTGGTGTTGGCTAATTTACAGGCCTCTTGCACCAGCAGCCCGAAGCTTGTGTGCTGATACCTGAGGCATTTGGAGCTGGCCACGTGTGTATCATTGTGTATCTACAAATTGCAGTAACTCGGAAACTCACCTTGTCAGTTGACCCTGTGGATGGTGCCATTGTGCCCAAACAGAACTCACGTACACTCCCTGCAACCAAGCAACTGTTGTCTGATGCCTGGCACCAACCCCATGGGCTCAGGCAGCAGTTGGACTCTTTGAAAAAGATCTGAGTGAAGGGTCTAAGTCTCAGTAGGTCTTAGTTGTTGCTTAATTCGGTTACAGTAGTTTCTCAACTTGTTGGCAATGTTGTAAGGTTGATAGTTCATCTTTTTCAAGGACTTATTCCACTTGTTTCTGCCTTCCATCGCCACCATCAGCGTCGCGGGCCTGGTGCCAGCAGGGGCTCTTCCGCGACCATCTTCTTGGCCAAGACGTCCATGTCGCAGAAATCCCGAAACGAGAGCTCCGAACCGCCTGTATTCAGCCAGAGAGTCCCAAGATGTCCCGAGCCCAATCTGCCCCTGTTTTTACCGGTCATGGAATTTTACCGGGCACTTGCTTTAGTCACTTTCATGTACAAACCAGGTAAAATAGTGACTAAATGTACAAACATCTACAAACATCTACAAACCAGGTTTGTGCAAGCTTTGACTGTTTCATCATTTTGATCGATGGCCAACGGCCTGGCAATATGCTGGGCGAAGAGACATTGTAAAAAGAGTCTGTATGCTTTGCATGACTGACATTTTTCTATATTTTTCTGACAAAATGTCACCAGAGCTGACCGAAGCTCCATCTTTCCTTATCTTTCCTCATAAACTCTTCCACAACATCCTGGGGTGGTTCAGCCCTCAACGAGGTCGTTGCCCACTCCACAACTCGTGGCACCTGGTGCCAGCTTCAAGTGACCCGACCTGATCAGAACTTTCTTGCAAGCAAGTGATTTTGGAGCCAGTTCACCAGAACGGGGGGTGCGGGAGAAATTGTGAAATGGTGTATGAAAAGACACCGTGAGTCACATCGTTCAATAAAAACCCAAACGCTATTGCGCTCGCACACCCCGCAACTCATGCAAGTCTAAGTATGTAGTAACTTTCCTGTCTGTCCTGTTTCTTGAGATCGAGCATTCCAATCACCTACAAATATGTATAATATGTATGATATATATATATAATACACATATGCTTTGGTCTATTCTGAAAAAAAGGAAAGGAAATCTTCTGTATCACGACTTTGTGAACCGTTGCAGAGTTTCTGCTACCAAAAGGAAGCTTCACAAAGCTCCAGCCCCCACGACTCGCAGCAAAGGCACGTGTGGCTAAGCGCATTTTCCAGGGACACCTGTGAAAGAGAACCATCAAGGCTGTTACGTGGCAAATAGTTCAAAATTGGGTGGCAAAAAAAAAAGGATCTTCCGGTCAACATATGGAGAATGCGCAACGGGAAGTTGCCAATTCCAGCGGATCGTCCACTGCCACTTTAGCAAAAGGTGCTCGATCCTCAAAAGCGTCGCAAATCTAAGCTGGTTAATGGTTGAAGCACCCAAAAAAAAACGCCTGTCGTTGACCAGATTGTCCGAGTCAAACGAAATCCAAAAAATGAGTCAGAACGGGTAATTCCCTTCACACCCACCAGTTTCACAGAGATGAGTGGACAGAAGGATTGTGGTACAACCATGTATAACTGTGTAACGTACAGCATGGTGCAACATGGTACGGGCTGCTGAGCCTTGCCCTTCGAGCTCTCCTGCAGGACCGTTTTCAGCGAAACACGTCCTTGTTCCACCAACCGAAGCACCTCGGTCGACCGAAATCTGGATGCTGGGATTGAACATGTTCCGAGAACTGGCATGTCCACCTTAAGTCACCACTCCTGGGGCTGCAAAGCGAGCCTGACATGTTTAGTAATTACTTGCAACCGGGGATTGGCTGTGTGGTAAGGGATGTATTCTAGGTGTTCATTCCAGTTGTTGGTCTATTCCAGTAGATGTTGATACAAACCGCAAGCCTTGCCCGGCTTATGTATCCCACATGCTCATGGCCTTGGCCATGCCCAGAGGAATAAAGCCAAAGCCCCAAAAAAATTGAAAAATATCGTACAAAATTGTAGATTGAAGTAGGTATCTTCAACAACAAACCCCCTTATCTCAGATTTGTTTTCCAAAAATAGAGTTTCACCTTTAGCAACGGCAGCCATGGGACGCTGAAAGACAGGAACATCTTTGAGATCTCCAAGATGTTGAACAAGGTGTCAGTGGTAACCTGGGAAAGGCCAGGGTGCCATTGGGGCTTGGGATCACCACGTCCCTGGTCAAAATCGAGCAGCTGGTAGAGGATTCAGCCAAGAGGAATGCCCCAGCGCCAGATCCACCAGAGTCGCACCTTCCGGTGGCGTAAAAAAAGGGCCATCTGCAATAGCCCAAATCCAGTTGCCCAACTTTCACTGGGAGATGGAAAAAAAACTACTTAACAACTTAACTTAACTCTGATGATCCTCCCATGCAGAGTTCCAGAAAAGTCCGTTCCAGAAAATCTGCAGCTACACAGACCATCCATGGCACCTGTGGCCAGGTCCAACACACAAAGCTGGGCACCCAGGAGGTGTCCATCTGCATGCAGTGCCCGCAGCAGCTGGGAGAACTTCGAGACTAAGCCAAGGTCAGAGCCAGTGCCTTGGGAACAGCACCATGGTGCGATGGGCTGCTACTGATGGTGACCATCAGAAAATGCTGGTCTGTCTGATCAGATAACAACTATCCACTCGACTTCAATCGATATCCGATTTCCCTGGTTGTAGCTGTTGGATGCTGAGTGGAAGTTCCGACTGCCTTCAAAGGTCCTTCAAAGTGGTACAGCATTTGACAGCCTCTTCGGTCCGTCGCCGAGACTTGGTACCTCCATGTATCGGTTCCTTCAAAATCAACGCCTTTGAGATTTCAGCTGCAAGACTCCTGGTTCTAGTGCTGATTTCTCTTTTCTCGGCATCTAGATGGTTTTGACATCAGGACCAAGATGCATAAAAACCAGGTACCATCAAAATGATACTAAACCTATCTTGGGAAAAGACGAAACACAACACAGGCAAGCAGCCCAAGCTCTGCTGCATCACCGGCAACTTCAAGGTAAAGCTGGTCATGCTAGGCTGCACCTCAAGACACGTGATGCTTGAAAAAGGGCCAATGGAGCCCCCTCAACCCATCCAATTCAATGTCCTCAATTCAAGTTGGGTTTGGACCCCTAGACCAATGCAATTCTTCAAGTTGGGAATCATCATGGATCATTATGTATCATTATGTATCATTCATGTTCGAACAGAATCCTGAGGCAGCAAAATTAGTGGATTCTGCTAGCAGCTCTCTTCACGACAAGTCTTGCCAGGTCATTGGGGAAAATGATTTCAGGCCACGAAAAGACTGAATTTGAAACATGCCCGGCATGTGATAGCCCCTCCCGCCTCCCATGATTGGTCGGATTGTAGATATGGGCTGACATGGGTCACATTGAATATGAACTATCCCGCTTGTTAGCTATTTTTTTTGGTAACTTCTCTGGTTTTGTTCTGAAACTTACAAAGGATTCCCACCAGCAACAGCCACTGCCCAGTGTGCCTTGACATTGGTGTGGCCTTGCTCCTTCAACAGCATGGGATAGCCATGGCAGACCTCAAGGCATCCCAGTGATTCCCAGTGGCAGAAACCCCACCTGTTCAGGGGGCCAATAACGGGGGATGATTGGTTCATAATGGTAACATAAAACTACCCGCTTGCAAGGCAGGGCAGGGGCCGGGGCTGACAACTATGATTGTGTGGCTGCTAAAGCGCTTACTAAGTCGGGCTGGTTATTCTTCACGCATTCAATCTCAACAGATATATCCAACTGCTTGAGGACCCAGGGCCTCCCGAAAAAAAGGAAATCATATAGTATAGAAATCATAGAGAATCACATTATCATATATATAATTATATATATATATATAATAAGTATTCTTATATATATATATATGTACACAGTATATAGATAGAGAGAGAGGGAGAGACCGTTCTTTCTGTTCCCCTGACTGTTTGAACCATCCACAGATTGGCGGCCCGGCGAAGAGATGCATCAAAGGTAAAGAGACCTCCAGGCGACTGGACACCTCAAAGAGCAAGGAGACCTGGGTGGCTCGGGGGGGAAATCCGCATGGGAGGGATCAACCGGAAACAGGCCATAGAGTCATCGAGTATCCAAAAACACATGGTATTACTAAAAAATAATCCAGTATACTTGTGGTTCCGAAGGCAAGAAGTGTTGACCCATACAGACATCGTGGCCTTCCGCAAGTTTTTCCAGACAGTGCCGGGAGGCCGTCTTTGTCAAAGGCATCAAGGGACCCTTCACGATTTGCTCCCCACCTCAGCTGTCGTAGCGAGTTCTGCAGAGAACAGAAACTCAAAAAAACTCGAACAATCCCAATGATTTTGACTGTTGTTTCTGTTGGATTGGGCCTATTTTGTGGGGTTGTATCGTACCCGTTTCTAAAATGTTCTATCTCTTGGAGTTCAAGGACCCTTGGTTGAAGATCCTGAGATCGGTGTCTCCATCTCGATTATAGCTCGAATTGTTCTTCCAGTCTCCAAGTTATATAAATTATTGCAGATTCATAGGTTCCAAGTTATATAAATTGTGTGTAGGGGCCGTCTCATCAACGATGTCAAGAGGCCCTTTTGGATAGCTTTGGTTTCGCCATCCAGCTTGCCAAAGACCTTTGAGAGAAAGGGAATGGCGACATGCTTGATGGAACTACCTTTGTAGTTTAATGTAATTTTGCATTAACAATAACTCAGGCTTCTTGATCAATTTCTGACAGGGCTGAATATTGTACTCTTAAAAAGGTTTTAACGAGCAGATACAACCAGATAGATAGTACGCACATAAGGCCCATCTCATGCATTTACATCATGACATGACCCACCTTTAGCAAATATCAGTATAGAGTAAATGTGCTCACATACAAACACGGATTGTGCATGTGGATATGTACTTTGTGCGGTCTTTCAAGTGCGTGGTAAAGGGTAAAAATTGCAAAAACGACTAATTACAAGATATCACAGGTCATGCAAGTCCTCTCAGTGGTTGCCATCAGCAAATCCATCCCAAATCGCCACCTGCTCCAGCTGCTCGAAATCCGCCCGCGACTGTGCAATTGGCCGGGAGTCGCGCAGCAGAAAACCTCAGGTCACAGATTTTTCTGCACTTTGGCACCTGTATCTCCAAATCAACATAGTTGAGCTCCTGTGTTTGTTGCTTATATTACTTAGACATACTTAGACTTATATTCCACTATTCCACTGTTGTAGAATTGACCACATCTCGCATGTTGGATACCAATGTACCCTCAACGTGCGACTTATCAACTGATCTTCTTCGTTGAGCACACAATCTACTGTACCCAGAAAAAACTGAAGCCAAGACAGGTCCATCCTACCGAGCGACGTAAGGCACCGATCATGGCAATGGGTGTGGCATCGGGCGGACCGTCCAAGTCCCCAAACTCGAAGTCCAGAGCGCGGCAGCCTGGTAGAACGGCAGCCACCCAGGCGAATGTCTCTGATTTTATGGAAAACGTGTTGAAAAAAATTGTTTGCTGGCAGAATAGCAAGTTTGGTGGGGTGCTGATCAATGGTTCCACTGGTATCTACATTCATCATTGTTCATATTCAGTTTAGGCAGTGGTTGAAACCATTGATCAAGTGGTATCGATGGAAGGACAATCATCCCTTTGCCTTCGACAAAGAGGTGAACATCTTCCATCAAGGCGGCCATGAAGATCTTAGCATAAGCAAATCCTCGGCAAAGTTTGCAGGGCATGAAATCCACAATGATGTACCGCGCCAGATCTATAGACATAATATATATATGTATATACATAAATTGTACACACAGCTACCCATCATTGGACTAGACGTTGCTTGGGATTATGACCCTATTCAGAAGTAGTACAGTAATTGTACAGTAGGGGTTCATCTGACAGCAATGGAGATATGCTTTAAACTTTAAGCATCTTTAAGCAACAAAAACTAGATACACCACCGTACACCCAACAATCATGCTGACAGAGTCAATAAGAATGGGACAGTTTTTGTAGAAGCTTCCATGTTCTTCACTGCGTCGCTATCCATTTGAGGGAACTCAATGATGTTGAAAGCTCCAGAGAAGTCAGAGATGGCCCAGAAATGGCCCAAAAAAACATCATTAAGTTCCCCACTCTTTGCGGTTTTGCCCACCATCTTGCCACACAGCCAATTTGTGGTCAAAGAAATCACCATAGTCCGCCAGATTTCGACGTTCATCTCCCGTGTCCAGAGTGTCCAGAGGAGAAAGTGGCACATCCAAGAGAAAACACCCTTGGTGTGATCAATGGGAATTCCAGGATCCTAAAATGGAGGTACTGTACCATATTCCAGGCCATATTTTGTGGGGATATTTCCTTACATAGGCCTGAAAAATAGGCCTTATATATGGTAGGTACCTCCAATTTAGGTTCCTGAAATGGCCATTGATGTGATGTACCCTCTGGTAATTTAACATAGCTATGGAAAGTCACCATTTTTAATGGGAAAACTCACTATTTCTATGGTCATTTTCCATAGCTATGTTAAATTACCAGAGGGTACCGGGCACAAGCCCATTTTGGATATGCGAAGCATTTCTATCTCCAACATCTGCCCAGGCTCGCTCGGGCTGAGAGAGTTGACGTACCTGGCCCCAGTCCAAGACACAAAGACGTCCTGGTCGCGCACCAGGGCACAGCCAACATCAGTCTGAGGGGATCCACAGGTCAAGATTGGGGCCGGGGGAGATGCCATCGCAGGGGTTTAACCCAAGAAAATCCTAATGCCAAACGGCCAACAGTTTCAACAACTCTGGAAATTGAATTCATTGATATTCATTGAATTCATTGATATTCATTGAATGGTGATTTTTTTTGACATTCGGAAGATTCGGAAGATTCGACCACTCGGCGAATCCACTCTTAGCCGGCAGCTGCATCTGCGCTCCTGTCTCCTTGTCCACCAGGATGTTGCCTGGATGCGGATCGCAGTTGAAGATGGGACCATGCAAAGTGAAGCCTGCAGTCGCAGCAGTCGCAGATGTCGCAGAGATCCATTCGAATCCATTCCACTGACGTTTCGTCCCTTTAATCAGGACTGGAGGCACATGCGTTGCAGACAACATGTGAAGACTGCACATGTTTATCATGTTTGTGTAGAAGCTTCTTGTTTCTTCCCACTTTCAAGCATGACTAACATAGCTCCCAAATCTTGCGAATCAATCACTAATCTCTTTCCTTTCAGGAATTACACCAGAAACATGTTTGGAAGCTCAAACTGCGAGACAGTCTCTCTCTCTTTGTTTCTCCAAAGTTGCAACAATTCAACGGCACATCCGCACTTCCAAACTGATTCCAAACCAGCAAAATATCACCAGCAAGTCATCATCCATTGCAATGCATCCGGCATCATCCAGGCATCCCAGGCGCCATAGAAGTCGATGAGCTTCGCCATGACCTCCTTCCGTCTTGCGGTGGAGCTCTCGGCCTTTGCCTGGAATGGGACCAGGATATCATGGTGATTCCCAAGGATTCCGAAGGATTCCTAAGGATTTGAAGATGCAATAATCAAATTTTATCAGTATGTAACCCAAAAATGGTAGGTATCATCAAATTCAGAAGACATAAAGGATTGACAAATGATTAGGAAGATGAAGCATACATAAGTATACCACTGAAACTGAGTAAGTGATCATCAAGAAATAGGGACATGCCAAGCAAGAAGTGGGGATTCACATCTAAAAGATCATTAAAAGTCTAACATGATATGTCCATCCCATGGTGAATGGCAACCCAGGAGCAAGTGCCGTAAGTAGGGAATCCCCTTCTCACCTCGTTGTGACCTTGCTTACTGACCACCTACCAGGTCCTACCAGCTGTCAGCAAGCTGGAATGGTCTTCCCAGTATAGGAAGACGGAAGACGTATCGAAAAAAGAAACTGACTGTTTGACCCTTCCATACAATTGTTGAATTGATTTTCTTTGACAGTTTTGGTCGAGGCCTATGGGAAATCCGCTGATATATCTGCTCAAGATGTCGGACATTACCAAACAATATATTGTGAGGAACTCAAGCAACAAAGTGGACACGATCCTAGTAGCCGGAATGGCTGGAACAATCTGTGATGGGGCCATTGTCTCATGAAAAGGGCGCCTGTACACGACACCCAAAAAATTGAGAAAATATAAGATGGATTAAGAGTCGTTTGAACATGTCCCATGGTCTCTCCAGTTTTTGGACACTTATTTTGGACACTGAAAACCCCCAAAGGTGTTCGGTTTCGTAACAAAGGGATGAAGCAAGCCCCCATGTCTAAGGCATACCGAGGGGCACATCCCAAAATAAAGCAGTTGCAGTCATGGAAACTAACTAATCACTTGCATTCCTGAAGAAAAAGAATGTCTGCCTCTGGATGTTTGGTGTTGGTTTAGAGTCTGAAATTTGGAGGAACTGCCTTCACTACACCAGTCATACCGAGATGCATATTCCGTGATCTTCACGCCCTTGACGAACTCCATTGCCAGCACCCGTTTCGTCACATACTCGGGGATGACTGCTGGAACAGTGATGTCCTGAAGCTGATTCTGGTGCCTTCTGGTGTTCGCCAGGTCTGCTCTATGCCAGGCATCTTTGTTCTGTGGTTCTAAGAGCTCTTGTGGATTTTACTCATTAAATCACATTATAATCAATTTAATCCTATCTTGCATTCAGAAGTTTGACTTCTAAATTTCTTTCGATATATTTGCTATCACTAGTGATGTTAGTTTTACACTGGAGTCTAAAAGTGTGTGTGTGTATATATATATACACACACACCGGGACGGAAAATGCATGCATTGTATCGGGTTCAACGTTACCTTTTCCCACCTCGTCCTAGAATTCAGAAGCCAAGCTGCAGCCAAGGCATAGGCCTTATGGAGCCAAGGGTCTAATCCAGCCTCCTGTATCCTCGCACGAGCCATCTCTTGGTTTCTTGCCTGGCGAAGCCCTTTTTTGTGTACCAAAAACATCCAAAAACATCCAAAAACATTTAGCCCACCAAGGTGGACCCAAGTCAAACAGATTAGAGGAACGTGAAACGATGTGAAACGTCGTTAAAAAAGAAGCATGTCAAGCCGCTCGCACTTGAGCGCTACCATGGTTGCATCGAATCCGTTGTCATCTCGGAGAAATGATGGTTGCCCATGGGGGCCCGCAGGGCCCCAGGTTTGGGTCTGGAATCCTCCAAAGCCCTAGGGCCTCCATCCTGAAATCCAGCTCCGCTTTGGACATGGCAGCTGTGTCTTGGATCGTGGCACCCACGTCGGAGAACATGTGCGGCATCAGACTCGTCATCAGCCTCGAAGCCGACGAAACATCCCCACTTGCTCAGCAGGAAGAGCCCTCCAGCCATGGGTATGACATACGAAGAATCCGAAGATCGCCAACAAAAAACAAACTGTTCAAGCACTTTTTGGGTGATGCTGGAATCCAAAAAAAAATGCCGACTGGGATTCATCATCACATCCAAGGATGGAAACCGACAAAACACCAACCAACGAGAAGTCATGACAATGTGTTGTCCAGAAGTGCTATCATGAGAAAATCCGTTGTCATTCGGACCCAAGAGTGCCATGCCAAAAAACAAACTTAGCAGGAGATGGTTTGGGTACCGATAGAGGTTGCCTTGGAACCCAATTTCGGTCTGGGCCTCGTTCAGGTCATGTTCACATGACTCAAGCACAGTCCAAGCCTGCCCACCAGCACGCTTGCACGGATGTCTACCAACAGTTTCCTCAGGCACAGGGTGAAGGCTAAGTCAGCTACCGCCAGAAATCAGACAAATCTACTTTGGCGGGTTGCCAACTTTAGGGAGAAAAACAATCCCTTCATGTCTAGGATACTACACAAACATCCTGATGGTCAAATAAAATGCCACAATGAATTTTCCCTGCATGTTGTTGTGAATGTGCGCATGTCAAGGGACTCTACAACAATCTATAGAATAATTTACAATGTAGAGCAATGGCGTCCTATCCTTGCATTGGAGAATCCTCTTGCAGCGTGTACAACCAAAGCAATGACAAAAATATTCGGGTGCCTGGCATCAATTTTGACCCTACACTGTGCGCATTTCTGCAAGCATCTCTTCCACATGAGCATGCTGCACTTTGACCACTCCTTGAATCTCCTGACAGCGTATTAAACTCGCCAATTCAGTCGCAGTCGAGAAACCTATTTCAAAACACCAAGTGGACATGGTAGTAAAAGTATGCAATATCACCTCTGACCTTCCGCATCCATGGAAGTCACCCTTTCAAACATGTTTTTGATGTTTTTGTAGTGGGTGGGATACTATATTCCTACATGTCTAAGAAGTAAATAGAACTATAGTCGAACTAGTTCATAAAACATCAACCAATCATCCACCGGTTTACCCAGAGCTGTAGCGACCGTTTGGGCCACCGTCCTGGACTCCACCATCTTTGGGCAATCGGAAGGTGGCCTTGTGCACCTCGCTGATGCGTTTGATTCTGCCCAGCGGCTGCGCTAAAATTCTTGACTTCTGTTGGGTGGTGTCCCTTCCAGAAAACCTACTTCTTGCCGGTGCGATGAGTTCCAACAATGACAAGAGGCCAGATTCACCGTAGGACCGTAGCAAGTCTGGGATCCCAAATCCCACCATATCTCAAGATATTCTAAGCATATTGCCAGTTCATCTGCTGATGGCCTGCGCAATGGTCGCGCTGCCCAGCACTGGCCCTGGATCCAGCTGAATGTGTTCCCGCCAGGTGCTTCCCAGCTCCTGGCCCAGTGAAGGAATGGAGCATAAGGACGCATAAAATACACCATATTTCTGCGGAGGGTATCACCCTCCGCCGAACCCTGTGAAACCTCAAACCCCCGCAATTCTCTGAATCTCCAAACCTTCTGAAGTAGGCGACTCTTCTTTCATGGTGGGTTTTTTGGGAAAAGGTGCCGATGCGAACTGCGCACAGCATCTGGTGGGAAATCCCCATCCCTGGTGATCTGTCCTTGGTCAGGAGCTTCTCCACCAGCTCCAGGGAGTCCGCCGGCATGGAGTCTTGGAGTTTGGACAACTCGTCCACGTACCTTGGGAACTCTGGAAACCCAAGGAAAATCATGGAAAAATGGAGGGAAATCATCGAAAGCATTAGAAATGTTCAGGAAATCATGGATAGAAATGACAGAAATACCCACGAAAAATGAGATCTAGCTTGACTTGGTCTTAGTCCCAAAAACATGGATGATGCTACTGGCCACTGCTCTTTGCAAAACGTTGTTTGAATTACTCCAATCTTTAGCTATAGGCACGTGAGGAGTCGGAGAGCGACGTGTCCAAAAATGTGGCAGTGGATTTGCACTTTGATAGCTGGGGTTGAAATCCCTTATTGAACCAGAAAATTTTTGAGGGAGATTTCAGGGTGTTTCAGGGTGGGCGTTGGACCTGAAAGCTGTGAAATATCAAAAAGGTCTGTCAATGTATGCAGGTTTTGGGAGGTTTCTTTATCTTCATGGACACATGACACTTCGTAGCTACATCGCTCAAAAAGCAGATGGTCGTGGATTTCCCTTCCAAAATAACGGCTTTAATGGGTCACGTCAGTGCCCAAAATTCCGTGTGTCAATGGATCTCCTGGTCACCCCCCTATCCTGGCGAGATGCGCATCGTGTAATGCAGAAACCACAGAGGCCGTCTGGGCAAGTTTCACCCAGAAGCCGCCTAGGGACACAACCTGTGGCACTGCGTCAGGGCCTGGCCTATACTGTTCGATCGTCATAGACATAAGTCTCTGTGTCTAATGTTACATTGAAATTTCAATTATGCCGGTTACACATGGTTACACAGTATAGTGCTTTTTTGGTGAGTTGGTGTAAAATCTTTTCGAACAAAGATGTGTGTTGGAGTTACGTGCTCTGAGTTTCTGGAAAGAATCTGCTGGTCTCCAATAACTCCCAAGCAAGCAAACTGAGTCAGGTTCAAAGTTTGTCCCGCAAACATCCGCAAACCGCATACTATTACCCGTTTGGATTGATTCCTTAATGGGCATTCCAGAATACCCGCTTCGGGCAACATGCGGTGAACATGGTGAATATAGACAAACAAAAACCCAACAAACATTTGACATCCAAGATTTGGATAATTATATAATGATTAATCATGTAGTCGCTAAGAAAGTGAACAAACAGACAGAAAACAGTTCCAACTCTCGTCTTGTTGTCAGGCTGTGTCCCAACAACATCCGAGAGACGGTGTCGAAAACGAAGCGTGCACAGACCTTCCGCAGGGAATCAACAAGTCTCCGATTGAGAAGGGGCTGGTTCCGAAAGTTATATAAGTTATGACTTCTTTTGTCCCAGAGAATATGGGAGTTTCAGTAAACAAAATCGAAGTCTCACCCCCCATTCCAATGGTCTTATGGGATCCCATATCACCAAAAATGGGTCTGCAGTTTGCACCATTTTCAGATCCAAATAGGAATCTCTCCGCATGGGAAAACACTGCCCCGCCTTGTGACACAGCGCCCAGATGGCCTCCGCTGCCTGCGGGGGCCGCCCGCTGGCACGCAAGCGCGCTGAGAAGATCTTGGTGAAGATCACCGTGCAGAGCCAAGCCACCTGGGACAAGATGATGCATAGAGGAAACATAGATGGACGGTAAGAAATGGGTATGTAGGGAAAGGTTAACCAACAGATACGGCGGGCAACTGCTTCATAACCATTGTTAACCATTGTTAGTCTCCCATTTATAAACGACACCAGGAATGGGGGGTTGTTCATCACGGCAACCACTTAGGAACTCGGACAATCTTCCAAGTAGATGGATGGTTGGTGATTTTTGATGCAGGACGCTGGGATTAGGATGTTTGCAGGATGATTTGATGCTTTTCTTTTAGGAGATTGCACAATTTGCACATCCTAATGAGTCAGAAAATTTGGATAGTACAAAATGGCTGACTCTGTCAACACTCTTACCACACACTGATTCACTTATATAATCCCTCGGAAGAAACGCCTCTGCGTAGCGCAGCAGCCAGCGGCGTAGAAAAAATGCGACCAGCAGCAGAGGACTCAGCATCAGCAATCTCTCCTCCGCTCAGGTCTCTGAGATCTGTGCTGGTCATTCATCATCAGAAAAGAAAAAAAACATATTTATACCACCCCCTGAGCATGCAAGACACCAAGGCACTAAGACGTAACAGCATTAGGTGCTATCCCCGTCCTGTGTGAATGTCGCCAGAAAGCCGATCACACACGCAGAGCTGAGGGCTGCAGATGCCCGCCACCAAAAGCGAATGCTGGCCCTGGGATCGCAGGATGTCGCAGGACGTCGCAGGATGTCGCAGGATGGCTGGAAGTCAAACAGAATAGAAACCTTCTGCCTCGTGTCACAAAGCCTTGCAGTAAACCTGGGCAATTGAATGTGTTTAGAGAATGATGTTGTTTTGAAACGCCTCAAATCAGGCCCGAAATCGGGGAAATTAGTTCAACCTTGGAATAATCTCCTGCACAAACAATCTTGACTCCCAGAGACCAGCACTGTCAAGTTTGGGGGCAAAGTGTAGCTGAATAGCTACGAAAATGCTACGAATGTGATGAAACCATCAGCTCCAAGCTGCAGCGAGTCTTCAACGTGAAATTCCACCAGGAGATCCGTGGTGCTGCCTTTGTCTTTGGGCAACGCCGGACTGGAGTCTCCAGCGGTCAGTGCCTGGCAACATCATGCGTGCCATGATGCCATGGTCCAAATATTGGTGTATGGGGTATGGTCGTCCTAGCATCATTGGGAATTTCTTATAACGCATGTATTAATCCCTATCATATAGCTGGCATTAGTTGGCGGATGACCTATGGCCTACCATCCCCTTTTCTGGGGTTAACCATACTTTGACCATGGCACATGTTAAGACTGTTAAGATCCTTTGGAAAAAAGTCAACAAGCAACAAAGCCAGGATTTTCATGGATTTTCACTCAACTCCTACCCATGTTCATCTCCCCAATTTTGGAATAGCTTGGCCCAGCGCACATTCGCCTCCGGCATGGGCCCCATGAGCCCCATGGGCCCCAAAGCCGGCGCCGTTTTCTTGGCCCAGCAGCTGGCGCAGCGGCGCTGTGCTGGGGCGCCTGACATATTTTGACCTCTGGAGACGTCAGATCTTGACACTTCTTGACATGCTAATATCGTGCTAATATCGTGCTAATATCATCTAATCATCTACAGCATTATTCATAATAATTACAAAAAAAATAACTTGCGTGTTCAAACGTTTTTAATATTTGGTCACCAATACAACGAAGATGCTGTGTCCAGCAGGGTACTCGGCGAGAGAATCGTTGCAGAGGCCACAGCCCACCAAGCCCTGCCTCGCAAGGGCGAGCATGTGTCGCAGAAAATCTGCCCACAGCCGCGACAATGGTGCCTTGGCTAGTAGCATCGTTGGTGACCGGACTTTTGACTAACAAAAATGGTGACATGATAATGGCAATCGTGAGATTTGGTTGTTTTGAGAACTTATGTATGGAGAAAACGCTAACTATAGTTCGGAACCACACCCTTGGATGCTCATTCCAGTTGTCGTCTTGCTTTCCAAAGATTGCAACATCTATTGATCTATTGATCTACAACTCAATTCATCATCTTCACCTACTTCCAAAAGGACACCACACATGGACCCAGCGACCCAGCTAGATTTTCCCATTTCTCACTCGGATGTGCCCAGCTGCCGCCGCCGCAGCAGTGTGAAGGGCCGCCCACACGACCTAAGGCCCCGGAGTCAACCTTTTGCTCCAACACATCTGATTGAGAAATTAGCTTTTCCAAATTTTGGCACTCAAGAAAACGATTCTTTGATACAGGCAAGTTTGTTTATTATAGGCAAGTTTCTAGGAAAACAAATGGCCTGGTATCCCAAGCTTGATGGCTTCACCAAAAATTGGGCCCTGGAATTCAAACCGTTCTCGCAGGAATTGCAACCCCAAATTATCCTTCTTCAGTCACGTCACTCAGCCATACAGCATTCCGTGGCTTCGTCAGGAAGCCACCGCACCTCGACTGAAGTGCAGTTCTATACTGCAAAACTTGATATGGAAGTACTCCCTAGCGCCTCAGAAAATTGCCCTTTGGGCATCATGGTGCAGGGGGCACCTATGGCCTCACAGTTTCCTCACTTCCTAAACCCGAATTCCCTGGCGTTCAGCAATCAAGGCATGGAGCAGCAGTGGTCTCTGAAGACATCAGGGCCTCCAGGGTGCCCAGCTCCAACCATTGCAGATGGAGATCACATGAGATCACAAATCAAAGGCGCATAGTGCACAAATCTGCAAATGAATAATGTGAAAAACTTCCCCATGGTTTCACTGAGATGCATTAGATGCATACCTATAAATACTATCCGGAAACGTTTGATCAATGAATCATCTGCAGCGTGGTACTGCTTCAAATTGGTTTGGACATTTGAGACCCCAAAAAAATGCAACTTGCGTACGTTGGAACGCCTCAGCCGCAGCTTGCAAGCGACTCATGTGGGGTTGCAGCTCCCTCCTGAGCTCCTGGACATGCAGGGTGGTTCTCCTACCCTGAAAGAAGGTGGATGTGAGCCATGCCAGAATCTGAACCAAATGGAAGTTTGTCTGAAAATAGGGTTAATCTTCCCAATGAAATAGCCATTTAATAGGGATAATGATCAGACAAACCATTGGGTACACAGGGGTACACTATTTTCAGACACACCCAAATGGAAGTTTGAATCTTAAATCTGGATAGTCAACTTGGAAGTTGAATATCCGCTCCTTGACTTGGAATATGTGGTTTTTCCACTTCCAGGTTGGCACTTGCAAGAGCATCCCAGGAATCGTGGGGGATCAGTGCCCTCGAAAGAGTAAGTCCCTTGCAGCAGTGGAACGATACAACCATGGTTGCTGACCACATATCCACTTTTTTGCTAGTGATATTTTACACATGTTTGTTGGTCAAAACAAGCTGAAGAAAAAGCCAGGCCTGTCGAAAACAATGGTAGCCCTGCTGAAACTGACCATGGAATGAAATGGGTGATTTGAGTGAGTATTTCCCAATACTAGTGACCCAACTGAGCTCTGCAGAATCTTGGCATGTGGGTGCGGCCAAAATTGGAATGCTCAAAAGTGGATATGCAATCAAGACTGAATCAAGACTCTGAAATGGCACAAAATTCGGCCCATACAGAACCCCAAACCTCCCGTCCCCAGATCTGTCGCCAGCTTCCTCCAGCTGCCCCAAATCGCCCTCAACACGCAGCTGGCCACGTGCCACCAGTGGCAACGCAGCGCGCTTGCCGCCAGCCACCAGGCGCTGCACCTCAGGCCGATTGAGGCCTGTCACAAGACCCATTCTGCTGGTTTTTGCTTTGGACCCACAAGTTCAACCAAACTGATCCTGCTTAGTGGCTTTAGAGATATATTGATCTTTCCTTTCCAACCAAACATGAGATGATTGTTGACTGATGCCCAAGATCACTCATCTTTTTTTCTAGTCTTCGCAGAAAGCCTGAGTTCCAGTTGATCACCTCAACTTCTCTCAGGCACAGTCTCGGTGGACTGGAAGGACAGCGTCGTGCGAGGAGAGGAGGCCTGGAACAAGATTGTGGTCAACAGTCAACACTTGGGACTCCACAAGCAATCCATGAAAATGGATCTTCAAGCATTCTGCAATAGGAATCACAGTATCCCAGAAAGAAGTTGACCAAGCTTACACGTCCATGTGCTGTGTGATGTTGGATACATGCACATATGTCGTGTGTCCCATCTTTACATCAGCTTCACAACCAGCCCTTCCATCAACGATTGCCTGTCCAGCAGCAATCTGTAGCCGCCCTTGCTGTGTCCTCGCAAAGCCCATCTGTCCTGCCACCGACACCTGTGCGTGGTTGATGCGGAGATTTCAACCTCAATGTTACACCCAATCACTTTCGGTACAATCGGTACCGGTACAACCAAGCCAATCACTTTGGGTGCGTAGCTTTCAATCGGTCTTATCATCTTTATCGGCTTTATCTGGAGGGAACCCTAAAATCCATCAAAATCCCACTGAGTCCACTGTTTTTGTCGGCCACATCATTTGGCACCTCACACATCCGCCTGTGTAACACATGCAGCCAGGTGCCTGCAGGTTGTAGTCCCCATTGATGGGCACTGTGGCCAAAATGTCATTCAGCTCCGCCACCGGCAAAGCCATGGCGGGTTTTTAATGTTTTTATGACTACAAAAATCCACAAAATTTGAGGAACTTGATGGAACTTGGGGTACAAGAAGACATGGATAGACATGGGAAGTGACACCTTTGATGGATCTCAAATCTGAAGCCCCAAATTTTGTCTTTAGAAGCAAACACCATGGATGCCCTCTCGAAAATGGCACCACGGTGAACTATCGCATTAGGGAAAAGAGTGGTAGTATCGTCTGCCATTTTTTTACTGCTGCTGGTTGTACTTTTTGAACTGGCCTTGCCTTTGTACAGCCTAGTACATTCAGTGTGTTTTCGTTTCCACATGAATCCTTGATCTCTCCGTCAGGACCTTCGACCTTCATTACGCCTGAGCACTTAGCGCGACGAAAGCTACGCAGTGCTGTGATCGATCCTCCCAAACTGGGCCCATTCTCCCAGCTAAGGCCCGACTGAACCAGACTGAACGGTCCCAACGTGTCGCGAACACCAACACATCCTGTTGACTAGTAGCAAGCGGTATCTTACAGTATCCACACCTTATAGCATCCACTTCGTTGCTCACATGCCCCGCCTGTCGATTCAGATTCTTGCCAATGAAAGTGAGCTTGCTGATGCGCCTCAGATTTGGAGGCTGAGAAACTGGGTGGGGGTGTTATATGTGTTATGGCCTACAATTAGTGACAGCTTGTTAAAGTTAAATAAGTGAAAGATTAAGACTCCAACATCTTTTGACAGTGCAGCGACACCTTGCCCAACACAATTTAGGCCATGGAACTCTTCACCCGGCTCCCATTCCTTCTGCGGCGCACCATTGAAGGCCATATGAACGGCCTTCAAGACAGAGCTGCTCCAGCTGAGCCAAGTCAGTACTTTTCACATCTTTTCAGAACTCAAAAACTCAAAATGTTCAAATCAAGCATGGCTAGCCGGCTAGCCCCAGCCCTTCAGCTGCCCAACCTGGAAGACGAATTTCTCCTTCATCCCCTGCACTGCCAACACTCCCTTGGTTCGGAAGAGGTCGACTCCTCGCCTGGGCAACCGAGGTCCAGCTGCAAACGGCGCTCGTAAGCCCTGCATCAGATTACAAAGCATCGGGCATATCATTTCCAACCATGCAGCTGCTGAGTATTTTTTTGGTCAGAGCAACATATAACTTACATAACATGTATCATATATTATATCATACATATATTATCATATATGTATATATATATATGTATATATATTATTATTATTATTATTAGTATTATTATTATATTATTATTATTACTATTATTATTACTATTATTATTATCATTATTATTATCATTATTATTATTAAGATATACATGTTTCTTGTCATCCGATCTCCCTGGACGTTTGGGGCAATAGCTTATGTTGTCAGGGGAGAAGCCACGCAAGCCGAGTTGCTCTTTCAATAGCCACGCAAGCCACTCATTGAGCCGCTGCTGATGCACCTCCAGTGGCCCAGGTCCATCCGAGTCCATCCCCATATTGGGAGTCATAGCCAGTGGCCCAGGATTTTTTGGGAGATACAAATCCAATCAAATCCACCAAAAAATGTGCAAAATGCTATGTTCCCAGGATCATGGGAAGCAGTGCCAATACAGAAAATCAGCCTCTGTCAGGCTCCCTCAAAAAGTGGTCGAAGATTCCCAAGGCCACAATACGCAGTCCACTGCAAGTCAATGGATCTCGCTGTCCAAAGAAACCAGAGAAAGAGCCGGTTTCACTGGCCCTTCCATTCCCAACTCAATTCGGCACCTCGCCCTTGACATGAAAGCCACAAGAGGTGACACGATCATCATGCTGGTGATCTTGCTCATCCTGCACTACTCGGTCCACAGCAAAACCAAATCATTTAGGATGAGATAGCCAAAACGGTCTTTCAAATATATATATATATATATACCCAAAGATCACGATCTTTTGGAACTCCAGGAACAATGCCTCCAAGAAGGCATCGTCCATCTCCAGGATCTTGTCCAAATTGAAGGCTTCGATCCCAAGAATGAAGTCCATGTCCACCTCAGCGACCATGGAAGGGGTGCAGCAGCCACATGTCGTGACATGCCAACGCCACACACCTGGGGCACCAGATTCGAAACAAAGGATCAGGAACCGCCAAAAGTCAAAGAAGTGGTCTGTTTCAAAGTGGAGAAAGCATTCTGAATGTGGCCTCAAAAACAAATTCTTGGGTTTTTTGGAGGCACCCAAATTAGTCGGGAAGTGCAGAATCTTGTAGCATATGGTGGATTCTTTTCGGCAAAAAAATGGCCACCAATCTCTGGGTTTCAAGGGGCCTCACTGCCCATTTCTTCTAGGTATAATTAAATCTCCCCGTGATTGTTGGCATCTATTGGTCATACCTTGGTCATACCGTATGATACTCTCTCTTCGTTTTTTTGTTTGCATGCTTCGCAATTTTCACTCGCCTTGGACTGGGTAGTGCGTTGAATCTTCACCTCAAACGCATGTGGAAAATGACTGAGCTGGAAGTGGTCACGGCCAATTTGATCAAGGGTGGGTACTACATGGTACTACGAAGAAACCTCGCACAACTTGAGTAAAAGTCCGAAAAATCACAGATGAGCGCTGTGATGTCCACCAAGTCATGGTGGCCTTTCCAAAAAAATGTCTCTGAAGTTTCATTGTTTCATTGATCAGCCTGTGGGGGTCCAGGTTGATCTCTTAGATCGAGTACATAGTTCAACATAATCTAAGTCTAGTACAACTAATTAATCAGATTTAATTATTGGTAAATTAATCTCTATGCACCTGGGCCTGTGTCCAATCTTTCTGCCGAACCTTACAATGTGTGGTGCCAACAGGCTGCATCTAACAACCCTGGCCGCACCAGAGGAGACGGCCGAGTCATTGATCATTCGAATGCGCTTCTCCACTTCATCAAGGTGGGCCTAACAACCAGCAAATATCCGTAGAATCCAGAGGTACAAGAACTGTCCCCAATTGTCAGTGAGGTACAAGAACTGTCCCCAATTGTCAGTGAGGTACAAGAACTGTCTCCAACTAGGTGGCGTATCAGTGGCTAAGGTGACAGTTACAAGTGTGGTGGAAATCAGAACAATTCAGGTATCTGTTTTACATCAAAGATCTTGACCTGTAAAGCACTGTCTGATGTGGTGGTCCTTACCAAAAACAAGAGGGAGTGAAATCCAGTTTTGCCTCGTCCACAAGGTCACACTTGTTTAGGACGATGCGGTCAGCAAAGGCCACCTTCGCAACCCGCAGAGCAACCGAGGAGAGGAGTGCCACTTCAATGGACTTACAAAACCATCAGTGTGATGGAACAGTTCAAAGATGTTCAAAGCATAAGTTGAATCAATGAGATTCCCAAGACTACCAATTTTGTTGAAACCTCCAGCACATTCTGCATGTGAAACACATGGGACCTGCTCCACCGCTTCGTTCTCAACACCTTCCGGCTTCTCCTGCCACCAGAGTAGGTAACCCTTGGGCATGGCCAGCGGTGCCACTTGGGGACAACAAATTGGCTGATTTTGTTTGGAAAAAGCCGTTTTCTGACTTCAGTGGAGCGAGGCGAACCATGTCAGTCCGTCCGTGTGTTTGGGTTCGTTTGTTGTGTCCTTTCCAGCCTCAGTGTGTCCAACCATTTGTTTCGCGGAGACAGGAAGATTTATTTCGATCTGCCATGTCGGAAGCATGTTGATTGGTGTCCCCGGTGTCCCCCTTTGGTCAGAGAAACTGCCATGTTGGTTACTGTTGGTTTATGCAAACCCAATCAAGGTCAGCCTTGAACCCATCAACTTTCCAGATGTGGGCCATTGATCCACCTCATCCAGATGCATGATGAGGTGCTTGGCATCCACCAAGGTGACAATGCCATCAAGGTGCCTTAGCTGAGAGAAGCTTCGATTTCAGAGAATTCTTCTGGAGCCTCCAACTATCATCAACTATCCAGTTGTGAGGTTCAAAATGTTTGAGCCTAAATGTGGATGGTTTCTTTGCAATGATCAGAATGGAATTTGTGGGCCGCTTGGTACACCACTTCTTCAACCAGACCCATCTATGCAAAGAGGACGTGTACTGGTGTATGACAAGAGTGGGATATACCCAACACAAATGAACCTGGGCGATTTTTTGGCTGGTCGTGCGAATATCACCACCAATAGTGGAGGTGTAAGTTGCACAAAATAACCTCAGGTTTCATTGACAATTGGAATGCAATCCATGAAAATACAGTACATGCATTGAAAGTAAGCAAAGATGAAGATACAATCAACAAAAGATGTTTGTTTTTCAATTAAATTAAATGGACTTTGAGTCACACCCATCCATCAGATCAGGTTTCTTCGCATCAATTGATCTAATAGCATGTGCAAGCAAAAGTGAAAGGAAGTTCCTATTTTCCGCAGAATCGCAAGCGGAACGGTGGTTCTGTACACTTTCTTGCCCTATCAGTGCAATAGCAATCTCTCGGAATCGGTCCATAATTTTGGCCATCGACTCGTCATAACCCAAAAGACACTAAGTCTACTCAAGGGGCAATTTTTGCTGGACATAGTCGTCTGCGAAGAACGTCTGGGCCTTTGCAGGACAATAACCACCACAAGTCCACACACATGAAGTCACATGAATCCTTCAAATTAAAACCCGAGCATATCAAAGTCAGAAAGGTCAGAATCCCAGGCAACACAAAAAGATGTCAGATATCACTTCAGGAACTTTTGGGTCTACAGCAGTTTCAAGATTCGGGCAAGGTTAAGGTTCCAGAGCAGCCCTGAACCACCTAAGGCCTTTCCTTATCCAAAGTTATTCCCTTCGAATTCTTCAAGGGCCCAACCTTTCGGCAACCTTTCAACTTTCACTTCTTTTCTTCCTCACCCTGGCCGGGCGCCCCCAACGACAGGCGCAGGGTCCGCCAGCCCAGTTGTCTCAATGATCACCTGCAGTGTGTTGGAGGCGTCGACGGTTTGACCAACAACAAAACAAAAGCAGCAAAGGATATCAAATTAGACAAAACATGATAAAGCTGAGCGAACCAACAAAATCAGGATATGGATGTGTCAGGATACACCACCGAAACCTAGCAGTTTAAACAAAATAAACAAAACAATTTCCCCCAGTTCTATGATTTGCGCGGCTGGATTCCTGGCCATATTGGCCATCCTGTGACACCATGGGGAGAACCCCATATCGGGGACTATATTTGTTTTTGTGCCGGTCATATGGACCTACAAAGGACCTACAAATCATATCATTGTTCCCCTTTTTTGTCATTTGGGAAAATCCACTCCGCTACAAAAATCCTTGGTGCCCAAACTCCATCCAGGGGTTTGTTGTTCTTGATGGAGTTTTTCACCTTGGCGTGGTGAGTAAGTTTCTGAAACGTCCATGAGAGGGTTGGATGGGGTTGGGGTCATTGGACTGGTGGGAGAACCTGTCAAGCTGGTTGGACCGGTCACCAAGCAAATTTAACTTTGATCCTAGCCACACAAAGCCACCTTGAGGATTTCTTAAAAGCGCACACCTGGCAAAATCAAACAAAACAAAAATGGTCCGTTCTGGGTTGGAATCCGTTTGGAAAGAAGTGGTTTGGGCCGTTGGGCCGCTCAGTTGCCGCTGGCCTCAATGGGAATCTTTGCCGTTGGCCTCAGCTGCTGACCATCTTCTTGAGACCTGCGATCAGGTCTCCACGCACGGTACAGCAGATACAGCCGTTGTTCATCTCGATGATGTTCTCCTGACAACTGACTCAGTCGACTCAGCTCATTCCAAAGTTTCTGAGATAAATCTGGCATTATCACTGCATTATCTAGCTGGGTGTGTCTGAAAATAGTGTACCCCTGTGTACCCAATGGTTTTGCTGATCATTATCCCTATTAAATGGCTATTTCATTGGGAATCTACCCTATTTTCAGACAAACCCAGCTGTATCCAAGCATATCCAGCCCTAACTACCGATCAGTTTCGGTCCCATCCCTCTGCCTCCGTCGTCAAGGGGCCAGCTTCGATGAGACTATCGTCGATGCCCACCTCCACACCAAGTCAGTTCACCACATGACACCAACATACACCAACACTATGATCAGATATGATTAGTATGAGGATCTAGTGCAAATAATGTGCAAATTGATTACCAGCAAGGCACATTAGCAAAATTACTGTGCCTCCAATAACTGTTTGAAGCCTTTGAATACCCCATGAATCACGGTTGATAGCGGCCAGAAGAAAATATTCAGCATCTCTAAGCTCTGGCGTACGAAACACACGACTGTACCAGTTTCCATACTCAGCTTCTGAAGGAGTTTAGCTAATGTAGCTGGAGAAACCCCAGCATTCCCTTGAAAGGTGCAGTAACGATCCATGAAGCCCAAAACCAGCTGGTGGTCTCCACAGTCTCCACCCACCAGGTATTCAAAAACCAAAAGCAGGGACTCTCACTATGTCGACCGGCCTCACCAAACTCATTCTCGATGACAGCAATGCGTTTGCCGTGAAACTCCTTGCAGAAAGAGCCAAGAGACAGTTTCTGTCAGCTGCGTTCATAGGTGTACTGTGTTTTTGCGACCCTGGAGAACATGCAACCAGCCTGGGATTGCGAGATCATACAATCAAGTTGCAATCATACAATCATGATACGCTCATGATACGCTGATGATACCATCATGCAGATGCATACAAATGCAGGTCTGGCTGAGTAATCTCAGATTCTCTCATAGTCTCATCTCCTTCAGAATGCGATTCAGTAGCGTCGTCTTACCACTGCCTAAAAGGTCGAGCAGGACCAAATCGCAGCAAACTCATGCAAGTGCGTCCCAGTGGTTGTGTTGTGATTGATGGTAAAAAGTCATGGAAAAAAACTGAAAGCCTTGATGTTTTGTGATCTGAAGTTCATTGAAACCCGGGCATGTCTTTTTTTGAAGTCCATTTTTTTTTACCTCAATGATCCCGCGATGATTTCGAAACTTTCCCCCGCATGACAGATGCGGTTTTAACCAGACTGAGTCACCCAAAAATCCTGTGAGCACCGTCACGGGCACCTGGAAGCGGAAACTCCAAAGGCCCCAGACGCGACGTCAAACGAGCACGAAACCACCGAATCTGTGAATTGCTGAACTAGAGATACAATTAGACAATTAACCCAGCATACAACCCAATAGCAAAGTTTCACATCTCCGTTGACGCCAATTTGGTATTGTCCGGGGAACCATTTTACTCCAAAACAATACCGTTTCTTCAATACCACCAAAACACCACCGGAACACCGCCAAAACACCACAAAAACACCACGAAAACATGAGCAAGACTCACAACATCACTGAACACCGTCAAGACTTACGGACACACCGCCAAAGTGCCACCAAGATGCCAACAACCACAGAAACACAATTGGGAGACCACCAAGACACCAGCAGGAGGACAAACACCATCAACCATCAGGACTGACACCATCAGGACAGACACAACCAATTCCCGAAAGGGCCCGCGAAGGGTTTTTGTTTTCCCAAAATGTTACTGCCAGCATACTCTGTCATAATATTTTCCCATCACCATCATCACAACACCGTCAGTACAGACATCCACCATCATCAAAATACCGTCGTCATCATCGTCATCCTCATCACGTTTTTCTTCATTTTCATCATCATCATCATCATCATCAACAACAACATCATCATTTTCTTCAATTTCATCATCAGCATATTCTTCTTTTTCATGAACCATGCCCGTATCATCATCATCATCATCATCATAATTTTCTTCTTCCTCACTTTAATACATCTACAAAATGAAATTTATGTATACAAGTGTAGATGCAAGCATGAATCTTACTGACAGGCGCCTAGGCGCAGATTCAAAAACGCAGGTTGACACAATCTTCTTTAACGCAGCTACCAAACGAATATATGCCATATGCAGGTGTAGTGCGGAAGATTTATAGATGCAGGCGGAAATCTTCTTTTGGAAACGAGAAGTGGATATATGCAGGTGTGGAGTGGCAGATGTAAAGACGCAGGTGGAGATGAATTTCTTACAGACACCTACAACCTTGATTGTTTCTAATTTCTCTCTTCGAGCGGCAGGGCAGCGTGGATTGATGTCCACGAAACGCAACCCTTTCGCACGAAATGTCGATCGTCGTACATTGAGGTCAAATTGCAATGTGGGTTCAGGACAACCCTTTCCCACGAAATGCGTCTCGACCATCAAAAGCTGTGGTGAAACTGTGATTTTGCATATGTTTGCTGAATTCTTTGCGCCATACGCGTGTCCGCCACAGGAAATAATTCAGTAGTATGTCTGTGTGAAAATGCCCGTAGCTAAAAACCCTTCGTGCACATGCATTCCTTTGTAAAAGAACCTTTTTTTGTTTTGGTGTCTGAGTCAAACTGATCAATGTAAGATCATCTCTCTGTAAAAGTATTTGTGTGTACAAAGGCATTTCTCTCTGTGCAAAGGTGTCTCCGTGTAAAAATATTTGTGTAAAAGCATGTGTGATCAAAGGCATCCCTGTGACAGAGCATGCGTGTATGTAAAGAAAACGCACGCAAAATGAACACCGCCGTGTAAAAGTATTTGCATGTAAACGTGCCTGCCACTGTGTGTCAAAGCGCCTCTGTGTAAAAGTGATTGAGTGTAAAAGAATCTCAGCGTAAAAGAATGTGTGCGTAAAGCACTGTGTATTGTAGATGTATTAACATGTAAAAACACCTGTGTAGAAACATCTCTGTGTAAAGGTGTAAAGGTACTCGTGTGAAAACCCGCCTGTGTTTAAAAGTTTCTCTTAGCAAAATCATCTCTGTGTAAAAGTATTTGTGTCTTAAAGCACCCGTGTGTAAAAGCATCTCTGTGTTGAAAGTATCTCTGTGTAAAAACATTTGTAAGTAGAAGCATCCCTTTGTAAAATCATCTCTCTGCGTAAAACCATCTCTGTGCGAAGGCCCCTCCCTGTGTAGAAGCCCTTGTATGTAAACGCATCTCTCTGTAAAAACAAAATGGCTGGAAACTTGATTCCCAAATGGTTTGAACCCTGCCCCAAATCGTGTTTCCAGCCACCCATGTAAGAGTGCCTCTTCCTAGATGCGTCCTAGTCTAAAAGCACCTGTGTGTAATAAAAGCCTTTCTCCGCAAAAGTATCCGTGCAAAATCCTTTTTGTAAAAGTATATGTGTCTAAAAACACGCCTTTGTACAAATGTTTGTCTGCGTGAAGAACATCTGCGCGTAAGAGTATTTACCCTAAAATTTGCTGGATGTAAAAACTAATTTGTGTCAAAAGAAGCCCTGTGTAAATGCACATGCGTGTAAAAGCACTCCTCTGTAAAAGCATCGCTGTGTACAGGCATCTGTGTGTACAAGTACCCACGCGTCTGTGTGCATTTTTTTTTGTATAAAAGCATCCCTGTGTAAAAACACCTGCGCATGAAGGTAGTTGCGTGTAAAACCATCCCTGGGTAAAAGCACGTGCATGTGTAAATCCATGTGTGAAAACATGTCTTTGTGAAAGCACCTCTGTGTAAAAGTACCGGTGGACCACATGTTGGTCTTTGCTGTTAGAATCTCTAAGCTGCGTAGAATCTGCCGCAAAATTGCTCGGTATTTGCAGCATTCTGCAGCTAGCACCCGTACATTGCATGGCATGATGCAACATCAGTTCATTGCACGGAGCTTTGCCATCGGGTAAAATTTGCAGCAGTGCAAAGCCAACATCGGCAAATTGCATGGTAGTTGCAAGATATGGGATCATATCTGCAAACTGTGCTGTGATGTTCACGGTTCTCTGAAGCAAAAAATCTGCACACTGTAGAATGTTCGCAGCTTTTAGAAACCAAAAACTATCAATTGCACAGTATGTGCAGCATACTTGTTGCAAATTTTAGTGCATCGCATCGTCTTTGCAGTATTGCAATTATCACTGGTAAACCGCATGGCATGCGCAGCATTTTGAAATTGACGTCTGTCAATTGGATGCTATTTTTACGACTTTATGAAGCTCAAACCTGCAAGTGGACGGTATTCGCAACATATTGAAATTATCATCTGCAGATTGCACCATGTGGCATGGTGTTTGCAGCGTGTTGCGGCTAACATCTCTAAACTGCACGGTCTTTGCCACATTTTGAAACCAACATTTGCAAGTTGCTTGGGACCTGCAACTCTTTGAAAGTAACATGTGTACATGGGAAAGTGCACGCAGCATTTTGGAGCTAGGCTTTCGTTTCTTTCTTCCTGCCGTCCTCCTTCCTTCCTTCCTTCCTTCCTTCCCTCCCTCCCTCTGTCTTTTCCTTCCTCCAGTCGGGATTATGTCCTTCTTTCCTGTTGGTTTTCTATTCTACTACCTTTTTCCTTTGATAGATTTGTGCGAGGGTCTCGGTGCAAGTGTAGCATGCAACAGGTATGTCAACTCCTCTGAGGAGGTGAGCAGCCCACTGCCCTGGCTGCTGCATGGGCGGAGGGAATGTCCGCAGTTGCTTCGGTAGAAGCATCATACTCCGTAAGTTACTTCATAACATACGTCAACATCCGTCCCTCCCCCCACTTCAACCAAAACCTGCAAACGCAAGGTCGTCGTCACATCGTCATCGTCTTCGCTGTCGTCATTGTCATGGTCCTCCTCATCATCATCGTCATGAATATCGATAAGGATATCGATATCGATACCGACATCATCATCATCATCATCTTCTTCTTCATCATCATCATCATCATGATCCTCATCATCATCATCTTCATCATCATCATCACCATCACCATCACCATCACCACCACCACCACCACCACCGTCATCATCATCATCATCATCATCATCATCATCATCATCATCATCATCATCATTGTTGTCATCAGTGTCATCGTCGTCACCATCATCATCGTCGTCGTCGCCGTTGTCGTCATGACAACAGCATGCAACCGTTGAAGACTACCGGGTGCATGGCACAACCAACGGACCAACACAACCGCCCCGACACCACCAACACGACGCCACCAAGATACGACCAAGACACCGTGAACACCTTGAATCAACACGGAAGCCGCTGAGACACCACCAAGACACCACCGAGACATAAGCGCACCACCGAAACATCAAGACACCACCGACACGACCGAGACCCAAACGAGACACTGAGACACCACACAGACACCGCCAAAACACGACCGAGACACCACCGAGACACTACCGAGACACCACCAGACACCACCGAGATACCACCGAGACACCGTGGACGCCACCGAGACACCACCGAGACACCACCGAGACGCCACCGAGCCACCACCGAGACACCACAGAGACCCCACCGAGACCACCACCGAGACACCGTGGAGACACCACCAATACACCACCAAGACACACCAAGACACCACCAGGACACCACCGAGACACCACCAAGACCCCACCGAGACACCACCAAGACATCACCGAGACAGCACGGACACCACCGAGACACCACCAAGACACCACCGAGACACGACCGAGACACCACCGAGACACCACCGAGACACCACCGAGACACCGTGGACGCCACCGAGACACCACCGAGACGCCACCGAGCCACCACCGAGACACCACAGAGACCCCACCGAGACCACCACCGAGACACCGTGGAGACACCACCAATACACCACCAAGACACACCAAGACACCACAAGGACACCACCGAGACACCACCAAGACCCCACCGAGACACCACCAAGACATCACCGAGACAGCACGGACACCACCGAGACACCACCAAGACACCACCGAGACACGACCGAGACACCACCGAGACACCACCGAGACACCACCGAGATACCACCGAGACACCACCAAAATCGCCAAAATCGCCAAAACACCAATGAGACACCACCGGCAGCCGTAAACCCGACGGCGCCCATCTGCCTTTAGAGTTAGCAACCCCAAGCTATCGCTATTGGGGGAAAATGCCATGTTACTAAAGTAAAATGGAGCTGAAGAACGAAATAACTGAGGCAAACTGGGGAAAAAGGTCAAAAGCCAAAAATGTGTTTGTGACCGATGCAGAGATACCCTTTGTTATAGGCAGCTGGTCCCAGCCAGCCTTGCCCGAAGCTTTCTTCTCCTTGGTCTTGGCCTGAGGCTGCAATGAAGCCGCAGTTTCTGAGCAGTTTGACATGCACCAAGACAAAGAACTACCTAAAAGTTGTTATTTCCCCTGCTGGAATGATTTGATTCACATTAAAATCATTAAAATCAATCATTTAGAACTGATTTGTGAGCGACAGTGCCTATCAAGTAGTTCTGTCACTGCTTAGCGAGTCCAAAGCACAGCTGGTTGGGAAAGCAATCAACTATCACCACTTTCCGTATGGCCTGTGCAACCATGAACACCAACCTTAAAAAGAAAGGTCTTGTCTCAACTCTCAACATTGGAACCAAAAAAACTGCTTTTCAGGAGGAAAGTGTTGAACTCCATAGCCGCATACCAACATCTGTTGTATTGGCCTCGGCCTGTGCGACCTTGTCCTTCAGCTCAGCGCCCAGCTTCTGGCGAAACTACTGCAACAAATTCTGATGCATCTTTTCATGTATGGACCTACAACTCCTGCATGCTTGGGGGATAAGAGTCAGCAGAATATAATCAAGAGAGCGCTTTTTGTTGCATTTCATGATAAATTATCGAGATACAAACATAAACACCCAAAAATTGGACATTGACAAATGGTATAATATTATGTATATTATATATATATTATATAATATATATATACTGAAACCCCAACAACATGGGAAAGAACAAATAGCAAACGAAACAAACATGTTACCATAATATGGGTCTGGGTCGTTGAAGCTGCTGCGTCAACCTCTCAGACTCACAAATTGGCACACGAGGATAGGCTACAGTGCAGTCACAGATGTTCATCTGAAGATTCATCCATTTTGAGGCAGTCACAGTCAGATTGATACCTGCATATTATAAATTATTGCTGCCCAAGTACCATGTTGACAGCATATTGCAAATTAACCTCTGCTTTGTTCTCTGCTGGCAAGTCTCCATTGAGGCTTTGAAATTGTTCCTTCTCCACCACTCGAATCTATTGATGGTTCCAACGGACAGCACCTTTTCTTGGATCACAGAAACATCGTTAAAATTCAAAAAGCCGGACTAGCCATCTTATCAGTTTACTATCACAAAGTTTCTTACCTTGAGCTGTAAGATCTGTAAGGCTACGCCGTAAGGTTTCCACTGAGATGAGGAGCCACCGAGACACTCCCAGGCCCTTGACCTGTGCGCACTGATAGTCCGTTGCAGCCCGCTTGTTGGCGCCCAAGCCAGTGATGATGTCACCCCTGACCTCTTGCCGGTAGACGGTGACGTTGATCCACTTTATCAACACCAAAAAGGGTGGAAGAAAGGTGATCTCAACCAAACCAACAATCAGTTTATGAAAGAACCAACCATTGTTGCCAATATGTCGGGATCTGCTAAGCGTGTTCTTTTCATGGGGTCTTGGGGTGGCTCGATGATGCGTCCCTGCCTCGTACATCTTTCGCAGCACGTCCTGAAGGGCATCCCATTGTGAGAGAAGGCCCAACAATATCAACACTGGCTTGAAACATCTTGAAACATCTTGAAACTATCAACTCCGCCTGAAACGAGAACCTTCCCCAAAATGGGCCAAAAAGTTCAATGAAATTCCATGAAGCACATGTGCAAATCATTGCAATTCCATGAAGCGGGATGAAGCAGGAAATTACCCAACTCACCGGTACTTCAACCCACACAGCTGCTGTCCTTTTGTTCCTCCGTCAGCTTGGATGTGTACTCCTCCACAAAGCTTCCAGGGTCCTGCCCATTACGTTCGACAACACGAACCAATGATATGGAGTCCTCGGTTCACCATTCCCATTCCACAGATTGGCAGGTAGCTTACATTGACATTCATCCCAGTTTCATCCCAGTTTCATCCCAGTTTCATCCCAGTTTCATCCCTAGCCATTCCAATTTGAAGTGTGAGGAATTCATCCATTGAGGAAAGAGGGGACCTTAACCAGTTTCACCCTTCAGCACAAAGGTCCTTCACTACCCGATCAGATTCATCACCAACCACCTGGTATCCAGGCGAGGCGAATTGGATCCCAAGTGGTCAAGCCGCTATATAATCGTAGTCCGGCTTATTTGTCAATGACCTGCCACTAAGTGTTGTTTGCTCAAAATAGATCATTTTTTGTAGTGGTGTTGGGGGATCACGTTTCATGTTTGTTGGTTGTATAGTTGTAAAATGTTTCGGTGTGTATTGATCCAAATTTAAACGGCTTTCTTTCTCCCATGTTCTTGGTCGTTGAACCGTGTGATTTTGATGTCAAACGGAACACTGCTGCAATGCTTCCCAAACAAAATTATAGGACCGGATAACCCCACATGTTACCAACTTCTCTAGACTTAGACTGAGCATAGAAAAGCAAGAAGGGAAGAGGAAGTATAAGAGTGATGGAGGGGTGATGGTGGGTGAGTTTGTGTGTGTGTATGTATGTGCATGTACAGGTGAGTGAGTGAGAGTGTGAGTGAGTGATGTGAGCGTGGTGTGTGTGAGTGAGGGATGTGAGAGTGAGTGAATGAGTGAATGAGTGAATGAGTGAATGAGTGAATGAGTGAATGAGTGAATGAGTGAATGAGTGAAAATGAGTGAAAATGAGTGAAAATGAGTGAAAATGAGTGAAAATGAGTGAAAATGAGTGAAAATGAGTGAAAATGAGTGAAAATGAGTGAAAATGAGCGAAAATGAGTGAAAATGAGTGAGTGAGTGAGTGAGTGAGTGAGTAAGTGAGTGCGTGCGTGCGTGCGTGCGTGCGTGCGTGCGTGCGTGCAAGCGTGCGTGCGTGCAAGCGTGCGTGCGTGCGTGCGTGCGTGCGTGCGTGCGTGCGTGAGTGAGTGAGTGAGTGAGTGAGTGAGTGAGTGAGGCAAGGAGTGACTGGGGGCCTCTGCCTCTGGGAAAGCGTGTTGGTCCTCTCCAGCTTTTTTACCCTTGTCCGCCTTAGTGATGCGTCAAGCTCTCGCCAAATTCTTCTTTTTTCGTGCTTCCTTTGCGTTCTTTCTTTTTTCTTCCTTTCTTTTCTTTCTTTTCTTTTTTCTTTCTTTCTTTCTTTCTTTCTTTCTCTTTCTTTCTCTTTCTTTCTTTCCTTTCTTTTTCTTTCTTTCTTTCCTTGCTTTCTTTCTTTTTCTCTTGTGGGCGCAGCTGAGCTCTGGGCTTTCCTTTTCCTGTCTTTCTCCAGGGCGGCCACGCGTGCGAGCCGGACCTGGCGTTTGCGTCGGCGACGCGTCGGGCGTCTCGGGCTCTCCCGATTTTCCCGCGCGCCTCAGGGTCCTGGCTTTGGCGTGCTTCTTGGCGCAACTCTCTGCGCCTCTTGTTGCGGGCTTTGTTCTTCTCAGCTTGGCTCTTTCGTTTCGCCTGCCGCGGCGCCGCGTCCGCTGGCTGGCTGCGTTCGCGACAGGACAGCTTCTTCCGCCGGCCGAGCCTCTGCTTGTTTCTCCTCCTCCAACCGTTTTTTCTCAGCCCGTTTTTCTGCCTGCCGTGCCACCCGTGTTGCCTGCACGGCGGAGCGTTGACTGTCTGTTGTTTTTTCTTTTTGTGTGTTTCATCTAGTTTCATCGGCCTCGGCCGTTGGCGCATCCAGGGCCGGATGCACCGGCTTCAGGAGCAGCCAAGCGTGCAGCTCGGGGAGCCACGCTTCGACTGCATCCTTGGAGACACCCAGGGCTTGCGCCTCGGTTGGCGCAAGTCGGTGCGTCGCCCTTGCCGCTCTCTGATTTTGCGGTTAGCGGGCTGAGGCCCGCGCCAGTTGTGCTACCAGAGCTGCACCGTTCTCTGGTAGCAGAGGGTTTGGCGTCGATGGAACAAGCTGTTCCCAGTTCCAAAGCCCTGGCGAATGAACAGGGAGGCGATGTCCAAACAGGACGTATTTTGAATACTCTCATGTTTCCTCGGTCTCAGTCTCCCTGAGGATCCGGCAAACCAACTTTGAGTGCAGCGGCAGCCAGCTAATCCGGCCGGGCGGTACCGCCTTTGCCTGGCATGTGTGGCCAGGAGCACTGTGGGTCCGCGGGTGCGGTGCTGCTTCCGGCGGGCCCTCGTTTTAAATTTTGGCTTTAAAATTTTGGCCCCCTTGTTGAATTTTGGCTTCTGCAATCTGTGCCGGGACCACCGGTTTCGCTGGGCTGCACGCTGCCTTTGGGCGCTTGTTTGCTGCCGCCGCCTGCAAATGTTTCTGTTGGTCTCAGGCAACTTTTCGTGAACAGATCGTGCGTCGATGCCTCTTTGGCGTGGTTACGCGCGTGCCGCTCGCGCGTGACTGCGTTGCCCCGCGCCTGTCAAGGAAGGACTGGGCTTGCGGAAATTTAAAATTTTGGCCCCCTTGGTCAGCGAGCGAGCGAGCGAGCGAGCGAGGGAGGGGGGGAGGGAGGGAGGGAGGGAGTGCGTGCGTGCGTGAGTGAGTGAGTGAGTGAGAGGGAGTGAGTGAGTGGGTGAGTGAGTGAGTGTGAGTGAGTGGTAGTGAGTGGGAGGGAGGGAGTGAGTGAGGGAGGGAGGGTGGGTGTCCTGGTGAGGTGAGTGTTTGGAGGGGGGTGTTGGATTTGTGAGTGAGTGAGGTGAGGTGACGTTGCGCGACTCGACGAGCGAGTGGTGCGAGAGTGAGTGAGTGAGTGATGGTGAGCGAGCGAGTGAGTGAGCTGAGTGGGAGGAGTGAGTGAGTGAGTGGAGTGAGTGGGAGGTGAGTGGTGGAGTGATATGAGTGAGTGAGTGAGCGAGCGAAGTGAGAGAGTGAGGTGAGTTGAGTGAGAGTAAAAAATGCACATACGACGCCGCGAGCACCAGTGCCGCGCCATGCCCACGCAAAAGGGCACCGGAGAGCGGCAGAGACAAAGGGACGCCAGGCGTACATCCGACCCAGGCAGAGCATCAAGTGGCCCACGCCTGCCCCGCAAAAAGCCACGGAGACAAAGGGCACGCCACCCTGGGCGTTACATCCGACCCCCGTGCAGAGCACCAAATGCCGCGCCGCCACGCAAGCCACCGGCAGAGCAACGGAGACCAAGGGACGCCAGGGCGTACATCCGACCCCTTGCAGACCACCAAGTGCTGCGCCTGCCACGCAAAAGCCACCGGCAGAGGAGCGGAGACCAAGGGAGGCCAGGGCGTACATCCTACCCCTTGCAGAGCACCAAGTGCCGCGCCTGCCACGCAAAAGCCAGCGGAGACCAAGGGACGCCAGGGCGTACATCCGACCCCTTGCAAAGCACCAAGTGCCGCGCCTGCCACGCAAAAGACACCGGCAGAGCGGCAGAGACCAAGGGACGCCAGGGCGTACATCCGACCCCTTGCAGGGCACCAAGTGCCGCGCCTGCCACGCAAAAGCCACGGGCAGAGCAACGGAGACCAAGGCATCCGACCCGTTGCAGAGCACCAAGTGCTGCGCCTGCCACGCAAGAGCCAACGGCAGAGCAGCCGAGACCAAGGGACGCCAGGGCGTACATCCGACCCCTTGCAGGGCACCAAGTGCCGCGCCTGCCACGCAAAAGCCACGGGCAGAGCAACGGAGACCAAGGCATCCGACCCCTTGCAGAGCACCAAGTGCTGCGCCTGCCACGCAAGAGCCACCGGCAGAGCAGCCGAGACCAAGGGACGCCAGGAAGAACGGTAGGTGTGATGCATGCAGAGCTGCAGAGTAGACTATCTATCTATCTATCTATCTATCTATCTATCTATCGATCTATCTCTCTCTCTCTCTATCTATCTATCTATCTATCTATCTGTCTATCTATCTATCTATCTATCTATCTATCAGATACCCTGTAGTTGCGCATGTCGTTTCCACAAAATAGCTACCTCGCTATGCATAAGAAAAAATAAACGGCTGAAGTTGACTGTCCTCGTCCACGACCAAAAGGCCCTTTCCGAGGAAGCGCATCCCGGTGCCAGTTTCCGCGAGGAGACAGCGGAAGGATAGCAGACCCCCCCCGTTTCCGGCCACTGGTCAACGAGGGCTTTGTGCAGGAGACCCATGCAAAGCCTGACAGGGACAGACATCATGATTTCACATGGCATATAACATCATATAACGCATGAGCACGAAAGAAACATTGCGCGCAGCGCCGGCGCCTCGGCCAGGGCGTAGCCGATGGAGGCCTGTCCATCGGTGACGTTCTCGCCCTTCGAGTTGAAGGTGTCGTCAACGACGTGGACTTCCGCCTGCGGGAATCTTAATTGGGGTGGGGGTTCGTACTCCAGTCATATATGTTCGTGCGATGCTATGTAATCATCATTTTTACTTTGTAGGATGACAAAGCTGCAAGCCTCCACGGGGAGCTGCAAGGTCCGCGACGGAGTGCAGAGCAGCGGGAACCGGGCATACACTGTCTGCAAACTCCCTCCGTTCTCGAGCACCTGGAAAAGTTCATCATCGCAATCATGGGAAAACAATCATCATGGTGCATGGTGGCCATTGCATGCGGAACCGAACCATATGTGCACATGAGGAGAGTTGGGAGCCTCCGTGGCGGAGATGCTGCAGGCCAGCGGCTTGGACGAGTAGATGATGCCACCGTCCTCGCGCTGAGCACAAGTGGAATTCGAACCCAATGAATTTCAAAACATGTGTTCCATGTTTCTCCCTGTCTCGATACAGGAGGCACCGCCAGAATACAGTCATACAGTCATACACAGTCATGTACAGTCCTCGCGCCCGCTGACCGCCTCCAAGCGCCGCGGGAAGTGCACGCTCTCGGTCCAGCTGAAGAGGGTGTCGGGTTTGTCTCCTACAGACACGATGCCATGCGGGGGAATGCGGAGAAGTTGGTCGGTCAAGCGACCAGATTTATCTATAAACCTAACTCTATGACGTCGGTCCTCGCATACCCCAGTCCACCGTGTAGAGCGTGACTTCGAGCTCGCGCGACAGACGCGAGGAGTCAAGAGCGTCTACCACGACGGCGAAGTGCCCGGGTAGGAGCACCCGCTCTTGATTGTCCTGCGGCAAGCACGATTGTCCCCGGTCACTTAGACTTAGACATGTCTGCCTATATAATCGAAGGAAG